GACACACACTCTCACACACCCCGGACAGGACACCAGTCCATCACAGGACACACACTCTCACACACCCCGGACAGGACACCAGTCCATCACAGGACACACACTCTCACACACCCTGGACAGGACACCAGTCATCACAGGACAAACACAGACACACACTCTGGACAGGACACCGGTCCATCACAGGGCAGACTGACACAGACACACACTTACACACTTACAATTTTCCAGAAGCCAATTATCCTACCAGCATGTCTTTGGGAAGAAGCCAGAGCACCCAGAGAAAACCCACACGAACACGGGAAGAACATGCGAACTCCACACAGACAGCACCCCAAGAATTGAACCCGGGGCTCCAGCGCTGCGAAGCAGCCATGCTCACCACTGCACCATTACGATGCCTGTTTTTACTTCCTTAATAAACCATTCAATTCTTTCACAAGTAACAGGGCTGTGACTGATTCTACAAAACTCTGAGCACAAGCTGGCCACCGAACTGCAGAAGGAAAAGGCTCAAGTTTTTTCTGATCAATTTGCCAGGCGGTAGAAGCCGGCATAAATGCGAAGTGTTTAAAAATGACTCTGCTGTCATGCTGCATCACAGCCACTAACACCAGCCCGAGTTAACACATGTTCCCCAGCTCAAGTGACACAGCCTGCGCAGGAACAGGTTTAAGCAGATGTCTAAACAAAGCAGATCTGTGGAGCTGTGAACCATGAACGGCTGTCAGCAACACAGAGTAACCCTTACACACCATGACACACACAGCAAGCAGGACCTGACTAACCAGCGGAGACGTCACCACGGTTACATGAACATAAGAGCACAAGCCGGGTCACAAACGAGAGCAGCCATTCGGCCTGTCTGGCCTGCTTGGAAGCTCTTGGTTAATTGATCACAGGATCTCATCAAGCTGTTCCCTGAGAGAAGTCTGGTTCCAGCAAGTCTCGTTACAGCTTTCTCCACACTCCCATAACCTCTAGCTCGTGTATCACAGGCCGTCTGTCTGTCAATGTCTTTGAGGATTTTGAATACTTTTATTTTATTCACCTTGCAATCTTCTCTCTTCAAGACTAAAGAGACTCAGTTCCTTCAGCCTGTCACTGTGGGACACTCCCTTCAGACTAAAGAGGCTCAGTTCCTATAGTCTGTTAGCGTAGGACACTCCCTTCAGACTAAAGAGACACAGTTCCTCCAGCCTCTCAGTTTGGGACACTCCCTTCAGACTAAAGAGACTCGGTTCCTGCAGCCTCTCAGTATGGGACACTCCCTTCAGACTAAAAAGACTCGCTTCCTTCAGCCCATCAGTGTAGGACACTCCCTTCAGCCTCAGAATGTATTCTAGAATAGGCTTTATATATCACAATACTCTTCTAGCTGTGCTTTAACAAATCCAAACAAAATGACATAATGAGGTTTTTATGTCACTGAAGTTCCTCCTTCTCCAGAGATCACAGTGTGTTCTGCTCTTGGGCATGCTTTTAT